ATTTAGATTTAGATTTATCTATTGATTTACTTATTTATTTATATGTCTGTGTGTGTGTCTGTGCGTGTGTTGAGCATATTGCATTCATTTCTTCAACAATTAATCAGTTTATTGCTTTATCTATGTGTAAATATATATATATATGTACATACACATATGCATCATTAGATACCTTTATCCCCAAGTTCCTCACTTCAGCAAACAAATTGGAGTAGAAAGGTGCGATCGCCCCACCAGCTCTCCACATAGCCAGGTTCCCGCACAAATCCCTGCCAGCCGAAGCCCTGTCCTGGCAGGGAAAGGCTGTTCCTCTCATCTTAGATTTCCGGGGCTGAGGTCCTTGGCAATGGGAAACCTATACATTTCCACCTGGTTCATGGTGATCATGTTCCATCGGAAAACTTTGGAAAAGGATCTTTTAGTGGGCGAAACGTCGGAAGCCATAGCATAGCATGCACACAGCCCTGCAAGTTTCCACCATGAGAATTCATGACATAGCACCACTTAGCACAAGGGTTTGTTTGAAAATAGGGTACTCCATTCCATCCACGGGTGAATTAATCTTCATCAGAATCACATCATGATGATGTTTATACAGTAATAATAGCTATGACTTGGGGGTACTTGGGGGTGAATCCCTGATGTGCAGAGCCACAAGGGCCTTCTCAAAGACCATCCCAAGAGCTTCTTTCTGTCATGTCTTAGCAGCAAACTGATCAACGCTTCCCGGCATTTTGCCGGTGATACGCAAATATATCGACTGGCGTGCCAGCGTGGCGACAGGTTCCTCACTGCAGCCTGGGGTCTTCCTAAGCACATTGCAGTTGCTGGAAGTAGCTGAGCGGTTTTGCCACTGTGGCATGACACAACCTAATACTATAGTACTATCAGAACATATATCAACATGGAATAGAATAGAGACAGGGAGAGAGATACATATATATATAGTATGTATATATATATATCTCTATCTATCTATCTATCTATCTATCTATCTATCTCTCTCTCTATATATACCTAAAAATCATTATAAATCTATATATCTATGTATTTATATATCTGTATATATATATATATAACTAAGTGCAACATTTGTCTGTAGCACATGTCCATCTACAATCGTTATATAAGATAAAGATTTTGAATAGTAGTATCCCCACTTCTTCCGTGATTCTTTTGACCCGGCCGCCCTTGGCTGTCAGCTACCTTGACTTCTCAAGAGCTGCTGCCTCACTGACTCAGTGGCTCCGCGCTTTGTCACAGAGCATCCAATTCCAGACCTGACCGGAGCGCCCTGCCGTCCATCCATTGTCTTCCACTCCCTCTTCATCCCTGGTGGGGTTAAAAAGTCCCTGAGGAAAAGAGATGAAAACGGATAGAAACTGCGGATAACTTGGGATGATCCCAGGGCCAACTGGTAAATCACAAGCCATGTGATACCGACCTGGGGGCACCACCGCACTAGCCCCAGGCCCATGATTTCCGGCCTACTCTTGCAACAGCCGCTGTACCAAATCGCAGCGGCACAAGGGACATCGACACTGAAAGAGATTATGGCCTCGGCTTCCCCAACTTGAAAAGGTTTGGGGATCACTTTGAACTAGAATCGGATCAGAACCCTTCAGAACTTCACGGCCTTGTGTGGAAGGGCGGAAGGTTCGAGATCATATCAAACGATGAGTTGGTGTCGATGTGGGTATTCAAAAATTCTTCCCACTGTACCTTAGCAATGTTAACAACCTTTGAAGGCTTTGGGAAGGGAAGATCTTTCCTTGAAGATATTGTTTTTTTAAAGGCCTGTCCCGTAGAAGGCATCTGCAACGCGTGGCCCGGTCATCCACACATGGTTTATCTCTGATGGCATGATCCAACGAGCCCGCGCCCAAAATGAAACATCGGCACAGTACACCACCTAATTTCTTTTCCGCCGCACAAGCTGCGGCGCGGATCGCGGCCGGCGTGCGCGGTGCGCGGGTGGCGTGCGCGGTGCGCGGGTAGCGACGAGCAGCCGCATGAGCTCGTGGCAATCGGCATGCCACCGGCCGCCCAGCTTGGCTGCGAGGATGAGGATGCCCTGCGGCCTCCGGATGGCGCTGCCGTTTGCGCCGCCTCAAGTTGCCGGACAGACCGGGGCGTGGCTGGTAGCCAACCCCGCCCTTCCGCGACGATAGTCCGCCGAGCCCGAGCGGGGAGATGGGCTGGGGGACGGGGTAGGGCAGGCAGAACCTGCACCCCCAGGCGCTCGAGGGAGGCGATGGGACGATGACGCGGTCCCCGTCGCTCTCCGCCGCCACTTGGGCGTTGTCAAGATGACGGCCAGCAGTGGGTGAGAGCCAAAATCACTTGAGCCAAAATTGCTAATCAAATACGGAAGCTGAAAAAATGAGGAAATGTGGCATGTGACACGTGTCACAATTCTTGGGGGCCAAAACAAGCTGTAACTTCATTATTTGGGGTTGGAAGTTGGAACATTTTGACCAGTAGAATGGTAATAAATGTGTTGTAAAACCCGATGGTTTCAGATCCCAATGTTTCTTGATAAAATCCCATGAGCTCCCCCATTTTCGTGCCATGCACTTCATGGGGCGTGACAACCTGGTTACGAACTCTCTCTCTCTCTCTCTCCCCATCGCCTTCTCAATGAGTTTAGTTGCGAACTGATTCTACTGATTTGTTGATAGTCATTCCAATAATCAATAATGATCCCTTTTCAATAGCTCTTAGTAGCACCAAAAAACAAAAAAAATACAATGAACCAATGGGCCCCCAAGAAAAAACAATGAACCACTGGGTTTTTCTCATCTGATCCAAGCAGCTCACAAGCTCCCTGAAGCACATCCGGTGCAAGACGTGCTCGCAGGGCAACTGGACCCAGGCGCCACCATCCTCCGCATCGCTCTTCTCACTGAGGCAAATGGCGCAAGAAGAACCCACCTTTCGGACGCGGTTGCGGTGTCATCAAACACGGCTATAGCTGGGAAAGTCCCCTAGAAACAAAGGGAAGGGAAAATATGGGAAAGGCAAAGAAACAAGCGGAAAGCCCACCATTTGGAAGGCGATGTTCGGCACTTAGATGCCTAATTAATTTGGATTTAAATGAAATCGAAGCCATTTGAAAATTTCACCAACAAAAACAATGAATTCTGCATAATTAAGAAAACGAGAGGCTTGCAAAATCTTGCGAATCTATATTTCCTTTTTAAATATCATAGGCTCATGAACTCTTACAACGGTCCAAACAAAAATGGAGATATGGCCAACACTAGGGATGCACCCACCAGAGGAGAAACTATTCAAGTTCCATCCCATAACCCCAAGTTGATATCACTTCACCCGGCGCTCTTAGCAATTCAAATTTCATGATGGCTACATCCAGTCGAATGGGTCGAATGGGGTGGAATAGGGGATGCCCCAAAATTCCATCATTTCCATCCATCAAACTCCCATGGTGCCTCAATTATGTTTGAGGTATCTAAAGATATCAAGTTTTGAACCCACCCAATCTATCGCCAAGCTTCTTTCACAACAGCTGGGCTTGCCAGCAGCAAAAGGCGCCGGGCCAAATCTAGCGAGACCTGGCTGTGGTCCACGGCTGGGATCTGTTTTCCTATTGGAAATGCCATGAAAATCCGACAAATGTTCATGAGATCTTCGGTTGCCAGGGTGAGACCCAAAGTTTTTTTCTTGTCTACCTGGAACTTGTAGATCCTTTTTCCCGATCCTTTAAGCTGTCGCACCATTAACCGCACGCCGCACGCCATGAAACTCCTTGCTTCCGTGTTTCTATGGTAGTTACCCTCCCAAAATAAGCTTCGGTGGCATCCCCAACAGCCGCAACATTTTATTTTTACAAATCTTTCTGAAGCGTGCTGCGAAGTCAAGCGCTGGAAACACCTCAGCGTGCTCCAAAGCCTCTCAGACCTTCTCCGGAACCTTCTCCGGAACCCTGTTGAAGCTGACCTGGCTCTGCACCAAAGCCTCCCGGAACCTTCTCCGGAACCTTCTCCGGAACCTTCTCCGGAACCCTGTTGAACCCGACCTGGCTCTGCACCAAAGCCTCCCAGACCTTCTCCAGAACCTTCTCCGAAACCCTCTTGAACTTGACCTGGCTTTGCACCAGAACCTCCTACGGAACCCCGTTGAACCTCACCTGGCTCTGCACCAAAGCCTCCCAAACCTTTAACCTTCTCCGGACCCTGTTGAACCTCACCTGGCTCTGCACCAAAGCCTCCCAGACCTTCACCGGAACCTTCTCCGGAACCCTGTTGAACCTGACTTGGCTTTGCACAAAGGCGTCCTGGAACCTTCTCCGGAACCTTCTCCGGAACATTCTCCGGAACCCTGTTGAACCTGACCTGGCTCTGCACCAAAGCCTCCCAGAATTTCTCCGGAACCTTCTCCGGAACCTTCTCCGGAACCCTGTTGAACCTGACCTGGCTCTGCACCAAAGCCTCCCGGAACCTTCTCCGGAACCTTCGGAACATTCTCCGGAACCTTGTTGAACCTGACCCGGCACCTGCACCAGTGCACACCGGAGCTATTCTGGGCTGAAGACCCCATTAGCTTATGCTGTTGGGGGAGGAGAAAAAAAAAGATGCAGAAAAGTACTTCATCACTAGTCTAGTAGGCTTTTGCTGTTCCATCTTTTGGAGGGTGCTGTATATATATATACACCTTTTTTTTTACCATGATTGTCATTATTGTCATCGTTGTCAGTTCTCTCTCCTATAATGAGTACTACCATTATTATCTCTGTTTTTTATTGGCATAATATATATATATAAGCATATATATATATACACACCTACATGATCATACATGTACCTTGTGAGTTGTTTGACAGGTTACCTATGGAAGCCATGGCCCATAGAAATAGATGCCTCGCCTCAGCTTGCGCCTGCTCTGGTCATTGGACCTTGCGCCCGGTTGGTAGCCTCCAACTACCATAGCTATGGAGAATCACCTTTATCCCTTTTTTTGGAAAAGGTAAATCAAATTATAAATGGTGAAACTTGAAACGTGATTTAAAGATATTTAAAGGGTATTCATTGAAGCAACTTGAAACTTCACTTGAAGTACAGCTTTCAACTCGATTTTTTGAATAGTTGCTCGAGTCCAACAGCAGGATATCGTACCTGATGGTCAAACATCTCAAGCATCCACACAAGGTCTCACTACCCTGGAATGTCATGCCTCAATAAAATGGGTTACAAGGTTGTGGAATCTGGTTCTGACTCGATAAAATCTGAGAAAACCGAAGGGAGAACAACGGAGCAGCAACTTTTTTGTGATGACATGAGTGCAGCTTGATCCAGCTTACATCGAGCCACCTCCCTGTGTAGAATCCCTTTCCTCGGGAGACAGACTCTCCCATTTTAACACCTGGGAGGTAGCCTTCCCTCCATGTTTGCTACCATTCTTTCCGGAAACTTCACCATTCTCCAGATGAAGCGCTTCAATTGAACTCCCAAACGGCAACAAAAATCGGCAACAATGGCAGTTAAATGAACAGTATATTTTTTGCCCTTAATTCCAGCAGACAGGCTGGTCTGAAAATAGTGTCCCATGGTTGATCGTCATATTCCCCATCTAAAACTGCCACAAATTGGGCTAAATCTGCCATATCGATTGTTCATGGGTTCAATCCCCATTTTCGATAGTCAAATCCCCGTGTTGGCTGCTTAAATTATAACCATCATTTTTCACCCTTATCACATCCCCATTTTTCCAACCCCCTTCGCTTATGTTTCGCTTCAGGCCGCTCCATGACCAACGTGGTGAAGATCATCCGCGTGAGCCGTCGGTAGTGCCGGTTGATGGCCAAGGTATCTTGCCACCACGGCAGGGGCACAGGGATGGGCGCGGGACTCCTGGAGCCACGGCTTTGGAGACCCATCAGTTGAAGAGCCACGGTGTAGGTGATGTTGCCACCACGGTTGTTCCTGACACATCTACCAACTGGTGGATCCATGAAACACGGTGATTGAACCTGGAAAAGTGAATTGATATGAAATTTGGAAAAAAATGATGATGTTCCATGAAAATTATGATTGAACAGCAAAAAGTTAGAATATCACATGATATAAGCAACACTTGTTGGTAATGGGTGTGTCTGAATTTTCAGCCAAACCCAGATCAATGGATGGGTTTTATGATGGGTTTTACTTTAGGGATGTTAAGAGAAAAGGTTTTTAGCATCAAATCTGGGTTGGTTGTTTCCCACCTAAAACTGTTGATGTCTTCACCTTTTTGGAGATGCGTGTCCCAAGCTACCAAATATCCAAGTCTTTCTAAGAAATTGAAGAGGAACTTTCTCCCCGAAAGTTTCACCTACAGCTTTCCGATCTGCGGAACATCAACAATCATCAAATATCAATCGAACATCCAAAGTCCAAGCTTCACGAAAGCCAGGAGGTGCTGTGCAGACGTAGGGCTGTGCCGATAGTGAGCTTCGTAGCGTTCCAGCCAGGACCCGCGGGTCGCCGCGCCACCGGAGCCACTTGACGAGGAAGAGGAGGCAGTGCTGTCTTGGGGTCCTCACCGAAGCCACCAGATGGACCAACGGAAGTCATCGTCATGCTGCCACCAGCTACATACCAACATGACCTACAATTCTGACGAAACCCAAGAAAAAGTGAATGTTCGACCACAATGGGCCAATGGGCATGACCTATTCTATAGGGTGGATTCTACATGTGTTCGGTCAGTTTGCGCTTCTGGTTGAGTGATGCATGGACCAATCTCAGTGGGTCTAAATATATATATATATATCCATTTATTTATTTATTTATGTATTTATTTATACGTATGTAAATATATATATACATTTACTTATTTATTTATTTATGTATTTATCTATATATATATTTATATATTTACACATTTACAACCATGATTTGGCCGTCGCATTGGTCCTGCCACTATGTGGATCATTACCCACACCAGGCTCGGACATGTGTGAAAATGCTCTAGCTGCATTCTTTGCATCATACGTGGGCACACAAATGCACTGAGATGTGAGATATACATGGATTTATTTATTATTCCATTTATTGATTGAATTACTTATTTATTGATTGATTTATTTATACATGGATCCTGGATACCTCTCTATATATATACATATGTATGTATGTATGTATGCATGCATGCATGCATGTATGTATGTATGCATGTATGCATGTATGCATGTATGCATGTATGCATGTATGCATGTATGCACGTATGCATGTATGTATGTATGCATGTATGCATGTATGCATGCATGCATGTATGCATGTATGCATGTATGCATGTATGCATGTATGCATGTATGCATGTATGCATGTATGCATGTATGCATGTATGCACGTATGCACGTATGCACGTATGAACGTATGAACGTATGCATGTATGCATGTATGCATGTATGCATGTATGCATGTATGCATGTATGCATGCATGTATGTATGTACGTATGCATGTATGCATGTATGCATGTATGCATGTATGCATGTATGCATGTATGCATGTATGCATGTATGCATGTATGCATGTATGCATGTATGTATGCATGTATGCATGTATGCATGTATGCATGTATGCATGTATGCATGTATGCATGTATGCATGTATGCATGTATGCATGTATGCATGTATGCGTATGTATATGCATATGCATGTATGCATGTATGCATGTATGCATGTATGCATGTATGCATGTATGCATGTATGCATGTATGCATGTATGCATGTATGCATGTATGCATGTATGCATGTATGCATGTATGCATGTTTGCATGTTTGCATGTTTGCATGTTTGCATGTATGCATGTATGCATGTATGCATGTATGCATGTATGCATGTATGCATGTATGCATGTATGCATGTATGCATGTATGCATGTATGCATGTACGCATGTATGCATGTAGGTATGTATCCATGTATGCATGTATGCATGTATGCATGTATGTATGTATGCATGTATGCATGTATGCATGTATGCATGTATGCATGTATGGATGGATGTATGCATGTATGCATGTATGCATGTATGCATGTATGCATGTATGCATGTATGCATGTATGCATGCATGCATGTATGTATGTATGCATGTATGCATGTATGCATGTATGCATGTATGCATGTATGGATGTATGTCTGTATGTACAGTATGTATTTATGGATATCATATACAGTATACATATATATGTACAGTCTGTGGACCCCGCTTTCAGGCTTGGCATCCCCACTGGAGCTGGCTCCATCCGTCACGGACGGCGGCGTCTGCGGTGCAGCCAGTCTACAAAGAGTTACCCATAGTAATATACATATCAATATGAATATATAAGTGTGTAAATATATCAATATACATATCAATGAATATATAAGTATATAAATATATTAATATATCGATATATTAATATATCAATATAAATGGTAATATGGATAATATAGATAATATGTGAATCTCTATGTGGATCAATGCCCATAGGATGAGATAGTAAGTGCTGAAATAAATAACCATCTAATCGAATCTAATCTGATCTCATCTTATTGAATCTTTCTAGCATGTCCAGTTAAAACCATGGCTTTTACATATCTATGTTAGTCTACACCAGGGCAATTGAAAGTTGATTTCAGGCACATAGCATTCCACTATCTGACTAATAGAAATACCCTCTGGTAATTTAACGTAGCTATGGAAAACCACCACTTTAAATGGGTAAATCATCAGTCATCATCTATGAAATGGGCCATGTTCCATAGCTATGTTAAATAACCCACCGCCACCAACCAAGAAAATCATTGCGGTTGATTTTGTTCTTATGGGAGTCAAGGCAATGGCCATACTGCATTCCATTCCCTGTTTGCAGCGTTGGTTTTCAGAAAGTGTGCGATCTTTAGTCGAAATATCAGAACATATCAACACAACATATATCAAAACTCATCCACACATTTCATTCATATATATATATATAAATATAATATGTTCCTCGAAATTCTTTAAAACAAAACAGCACTTCTCCACTTTCACCGCCGCTTCACCGCTTCACCGCTGGCACCCGAGTTGTCTGCGCAGTGGCCGCCCTGGTCGCTCGCAGCCACGCAGTGCGGGCGGCAGCGTATTGCAAGCGATGCCCGTGGTTCTTGGCAAAGACACAGAGCTGTTCCTGAAAACGTGGGATGACGTGGGCGACCCACTTTGGACCATCGGAAGCGAGATTTTTGGAGTGGTAACCCCCAACCAAAAAAGAAAACACGATAATATTAGTCACTATATATATATATATATCTGTGTGTGTGTATGTCTGTATGTATGTCGTAGGATTTGATTGTGTCATCTTTTTGGGGCTTGCTATAGCTGGAAGTTCACGAGCAAGACACCGTCCCCCAGCAAAGAAGTGGGTCCAAAATCTCCTACGGTTAAGGACACCCTTAAGTTTCTTGCTGTGACTCATCCCCACCATGCTTGGCATTGTGCCAGGTCCGAATGTACAGTTGCGGGCTTCAGATCAAATCCCACTGGAGCAAGACTAAGCTCCACCATGCCATCAATCACCCCTGTGTTGCCGATGTGTCCAGATTGGTGCATCCTTCTCATGTTTTACGAACTAGCGGTAAAGGGTGGCACTGTGTAAAGTGTGGGAAGATTGGCACGATGAACCATTTTAGATGTTCTTTTCAAGAGCAGTTGGCAAAGGCGGGTCTTTTGCATCTTGGATGTGTTGCATGGAGGAGGAGGAGGAGGAGGAGGAGGAAAAAAAACAAGCTGAAGTTCACCAAAGGTTTTTAGTGACAAAATGTGATAAGCGGATATAAATGGCTGCAACACGTGATCAAAGGGTATTCTGCGTGTTTGCCCAACCCCAAGGCGATCTCCACCATAAATGGCACCAACTCCATACCCCTGAGACGGAACCCCAAAAAATAGGGTCTGGAAGACGGTCTTTTCGCAGTGGACATGCCCACTTTTGGGTGGCACCATGTGTGCTGGTTAAATCACATTTTTCATGGGTAAAATCCATATGTTCATATCTTAAATCCAATTTGTTTGGTTTGAAAAACCTCTATTTTCATGGGTTCGATTCAGGGGATGCCATTCCAAGCGGCGGGATTTCGCGGAAAGTGATTGTATTGTGCCAAGTACTTCTGCAGCAAATCATCCTCAGCTAGGGCAGACCATCCCAGGGGCCGTGGAGGGCTTCCCGTCCTGCGGAATCCCTGCTGCCCAGAGGCGACCGTATCGCCCGGCATTTTGTCGGAGAGCCAACGAGCTGTGAGCTGCGGCCAAGATCGATGGTCCGGTGGCACAATTTGGCCCATACCGTCCATACACATAATGTGAAAGAGATGTGTGGCAATTGCGGGGGGAAATTGGCGATATGATATGATATGATGTCAATTTTTTCAAGACCCTGAAAACCCTAGATTTGGGCCATTGCAGTGCAAACCGTTACAAAGCACGTTGTTTCAAACCAAATACCCTTGAACACCGCAAATGGATGGGTCATTGTTTGTCACTACCTGCCACCAACATCTGCTGTCGGTCTCCTTTTGGAGGAAGAGACCTGAAAGACAGCAAGAAACATCTGCCATTTTTGGAGGAAATGTAGTCCTGAAAATGACAGTTTGCCACTTCCACTCTTGGGAATCAGGAAGGGAATGAGAAGGAAAAAAGTCTAGAATTCACCGCAATGCTCCCCTGCCATTTTTGTTCAAGTCCAGAACTGCTCAAAAGCGACACAAGATTAGCCACCAAGAAAGTCAAGGAGTTGATCTACCACCAAGACCCCGCACTGTTAGAACTTCCACGGACAAAAAGCCCGCGACGTCCTGAAGAGCAGCAGAAGATGGTGGCTCGAATCAGTCCACAGTCACAGCTGACGTGTCAATCCCAAAACACGTGTGGCATACGGTATATGATAGCCCTGGGCAATTTAACAGGTTGCTATGTGTATTTTGGCGCATTTAGTTGGAAGATTTGACCTACTTCCATAGTGATTGTCCAGTTCGCAAAGTGTTGCTAGTCAAACATGGCAATTGAAAATCATTGAAAGTCCATGAGCTAAATGGAGGTTTAGAGCTTGGAAAATCATGGAAAATCAACAATAGAATACAATAGATATAGCTGGTGGATTTTCCATTACTGCCATATTTGATTACCAAAGAGAGGATGGAGGATGATGCTCCTCCCACTGTACATCTTCCGTAGGCGCGGAGCGGGGGGCAGCCAGAGCTGGGGGAATCGGAGCCTCAGCAGCCTGGCACAGATGGAGAAATTGAAAAGCACTCCTCTCCCAGTGAGGGTCCCAAATATGTGTTTTTATCCCCTACTAAACCATGCTTTCTGGTGGCTGTTGAATGTGAGGGGGAGGAGGTTTTCTACCAACATGTTACATAGTTGGGGAATGATAAACAATGTGAATCAGCAAGTACACGGGCAGAAACCCCAGATAGGGCGGCAGCAGCAGGCAAGAGCACCCCAAACCACCAATCATGAAGGGAGACAGGACTGACAGACGAGGCAGCGATAGATTTGAGAGGAAGCCAATGTGGAAAATCAGCAACCGATTCAGTGATTGAGAAGTAAGAACCCCTATATCTGCAGCTACCTGGGGAATAAAAAAGACTAGTGACTAGTGACTAGTGATATCCTCTTCGGCAAATGATTGATGAATGGGATTCGCCAGAGGAACAAAAACAGAAAGTTTGATCCATGGCCCCTTGGAGCCTTGGCTCCCCCAATTCCCATATCGTGCCTCTGCCTTAAAGTCTCCGGGCACCCTGGTTTCGCAGTGCATCTCAGTCATTTTGGGGTCCCATGTTTATTTTTTGGGTGTGGGCTTGGCAATTTCATTGGAAAAAATCATTCGGCGGGATCCGACTATGATCATACCATCTCAATGGACGGATTGGAGAGAACATCTGCAGAAAAATGCGGCTCTGGCTCCCCAAATATACGGCTCCCCTGTTTCCAGATTGCTTGTATCATTTCAAAAGCAAAAGACTGGACTGGGAAACATGGCCTCAGGCCAAGTTTCGAAAAAACAGATCTCAAATGATCTCAACACATTCTTTGAAAAATCAGATGTGTTTTCACTCAACACATTCTACAAACATTCCACAAACCATGGGGTTTGTAGGGGGTTTTAGCCAGAAAAGGCCAGAAAAACGTGAGGAAAAACTGACGCTGGACCTGGCACTCTGCGGCTCGGACTTGGACCTACAGATCGGGGATCCCTCCATGGAGGTAGAAATGTCCACAGAAATGAGAATATGATTGACTCTGTGTATGTATGTATGTATGTATGTATGTATCTATCTATGTATCTATGTATCTATGTATCTATGTATCTATGTATCTATGTATCTATGTATCTATGTATCTATGTATCTATGTATCTATGTATCGATGTATCTGTATCGATATCGATATCGATGTATGTATCTATGTATCTATGTATCTATGTATCTATGTATCTATGTATCTATGTATCTATGTATCTATGTATCTATGTATCTATGTATCTATGTATCTATATCTATGTATGGATGTAGGATGTATGCATGTATGCATGTATGCATGTATGCATGTATGCATGTATGCATGTATGCATGTATGCATGTATGCATGTATGCATGTATGCATGTATGCATGTATGCATGTATGCATGTATGCATGTATGCATGTATGCATGTATGCATGTATGCATGTATGCATGCATGTATGCATGTATCCATGTATGCATGTATGCATGTATGCATGTATGCATGTATGCATGTATGCATGTATGCATGTATGCATGTATGCATGTATGCATGTATGTATGCGTGCATGATGCATGTATGCATGTATGCATGTATGCATGTATGCATGTATGCATGTATGCATGTATGCATGTATGCATGTATGCATGTATGCATGTATGCATGTATGCATGTATGCATGCATGCATGCGCGCATGCGCGCATGCGCGTATGCGCGCATGCGCGTATGCGCGTATGCGCGTATGCGCGTATGCGCGTATGCGCGTATGCGCGTATGCGCGTATGCGCGTATGTGCGTATGCTCGTATGCTCGTATGCGCGTATGCGCGTATGCACGTATGCGCGTATGCACGTATGCATGTATGCATGTATGCATGTATGTATGTATATATAGAGAGAGTGTGTGTGTGTGTGGGTGATAATGTATGTGTGTGTGCAATATCATATGTATGGATATAAATCTACAGATGTTCGTCTGTGTGCGTGTGATTATGTGATTTTGTGATTTTGTGTGTGTAATAGTGTAATCAGCTTCAAGCTACGGCATAAGTTCCGAAAGGCCGAATGTAAAACAAATATCCCATGTGTGTGTGTGAGCCAAAAAGTATATTATATAGCTGGGTAGGAACCAGCCAGCTAGGTCAATGGATTGGTTAAAGGGAAAATCTACAGGAAACCATTATTTTTGCCACCAAATATAGGGGTCAATCCAATCCAATGACTAGGAAATTTCAATCTATGCTAAGCTATGAGTCACCCAACGGTGAGCTACACGAGCCATTTTCTGTTCTCTGCGCGAGTCTGCCCTTGGCTAGCTTATGCGCGCATGGGCTTCTCTAAATTTAACGCAACCGGTTCGAGTCGCATTATAAGACTCACGAGCTTCTCATGAGTAGCACTGATTCATGCCATGTGTAGGCTGCCCGGCAAGTGTTTAAAAATCGCATTGAATCCGCCACTCCCAGTGGCCAGCTAGAGTATCCAATCTATATATTTAAACTTATGATGCTTATATATAAGTTATGGATAGTTATGAGATATGATCCGTGTTCCTTTCAATGTTTTGACGCGGAGGCATGCCACAAATGGCATCCCCCTATTCACTCAGCTTGACCGAGCCTGTAGCCTAGCTGTGTTCGAGGCACCGTCACCCGGTGGGTCAAAATGCCGTGCCCGCGGCTGCCGCCCCTTTTGGCATAGCCGGCCGGTGGCAGGTCAGGGGTGCGCTGTGACTTTCGACGGCCCTGATAAGTTTCAGCTGGAGGTTGGGAAGATACAAAATAGAAAATATGGAAGGACTTGAGCAATCCCATTTCGGACTTGAGCCCTCTGAGGAGGTCATTTCAAATACTTAGGCATACTTCGGCCGTCAATGCACCTCTCTTCTCTGTCTAATTTCTCTGTGACTCGCTCACTCAGGGCACCACCTGCCATCGCCGATTCTCTGTGAGACAAGTTCTCCCTTCGGACATGTTGACTTGGGTCGGATATGGTCGGATCCAAGTAAAGAGGGTGCAACTGGGGGCCTATATAACCCTGAGGTGTGGACAATCCATTGCAGTGAAGGCATGACAGCATTCAAACAGCGTGGATCACATCCCCAGACCTGTCACAGTCCCCGCCTGAAAGTCTCGGGTGGCATCCCAGCCCTGGGGACAAAATGGAAGAGCACCAGGTGACATAGCAGGCTCCAAATGAGGTTTGGCAAACTCAGGAGCCAGGTTCATGTGGGACATCCCTTCCATGGGTGGCTGGCGGTGGCTCGGAATCACGGTGGGAGGAAGGGAGGCTCCAGGCCCGAGATATTGGACCAACATGCCGCGGAGGTAGCGGTTCTCTTCTTCCAAGCGGCACACATAGTCTTCCCAGGCTGGGGGCGGGGTCAATGGGTCCTCGGCCAAGGGCAGGAAATCTGGTGGGGGCGCCAAGGGTTCGCCATGATACCCAAATGGAGGGAAGGCAGGAAGACCTGGAGGGCCGGGAGGTGCCAAGTGACCTTGCGGATAGGGAGGCAATGGGTAACCCCCCAAGCCCAGTGGTGGTGGCATCAGTGGCCCCATATGTCCATGCGGCGTGGGAGGCAGGGAGCCCATGGAACGGGCATCAAGCTCAAGGGCCGTCAAGTTGGTCCTGCCATCGCTCTTCTTCTTGCTCTTGCGCTTTCGCTTCTCGTGGTCATAGTGGCAGTGCTGGCCTTGGAGTTCAGTTCAAACAAGAGGCGCAGGGAACAATTAGAAAGAACATCTTGCCAGTGGTCAGTGGTTTCCAAATTTCTTCTGAATCTAAACTCACATGATTCACATAATTCATCCAACAGTTGGACATGAAAAATCACCAGCTCATCAAATCCAGGTGGCAGTTGTAGCCGTTGTGGCAGCGGCCCTTGGGGTGGAAGCAACATCGGTCGCAGGTGCCGTGGAAATGATTGGCCGAGCCAATGGATGGCAACTGGGCCAACCAGGCATCATATTCAGGGCCGGGACCCATGGGAGGAGCAACCACAGGCGGATAAAACCTCAGGGCCGGCGCATCCAACAGGTGAAGTCTCTTTGATTCTCCGGTGAAGGAGGTCCCACCATTGCGTTCTTCATCTTTTGAAGGCGTTGATATCAGCCACATGCATATCATGGAGAGATATCATGGAGAGAAGCAAGTGGTTGGCGAGCAACTTCTGACTTTGCGTTCAAGCTGAATGAATCTAGTTTTTTGGGGGATTGGAGTTCCTCCTTGCCATGGCTGTCTCCACAATCCAAGCTATCCAAACCTCACCCGGGAGCCTGTTCCATCATGTTCCATCAACAGGTCATTTTCAGGAGGCCTTCTCCGAAACAAATATGGTCCTTGTCGAAAAATAGAGGGGTCGGTTTGGCATACCTTTTTTTCATCAACTGCAACCATTTGCAAATGAATTGTCCAATGTGGACAACATCTCCAAACCTCTGCGACCAGAAACATCTCGAATGACTCCGGCGCCATGGCTTCTCCAACTTCAAAGTTGTTATCCTCATCCTCATCCAGGCATTCGTCCTGCCATCATCGGACAAAGCGAGGACCCATGACATCCTTTGACGTGTTACATCATGAAACATCCCATCTGACTCTCAAACATCCAGCAACCTCCCCAAGTAAGAGGGGACGAGGAGAAAAAAAAACACGTCGCATCATCCTGCCATCGAAATTCCAGGGCCCCTCTTACCCCACCAATAAAAAGGGAAATCGCAGCTCAACCAAAATTCAGATTTCTCGTTGTAAATCCTTCAGAAATGGCCGCAAGATTGTTCCTTCATCAGTTTTTCCATATTTTTTCCATCCATTTCTCCGTGATCTTCCCATCATTTTCCTTCCCTTTCCATCGAAAACACATCGACACATCTTCGCCTGGAGGCTCATGGCCAAGTTGCGACGGTAGCCTCCATCAAAATAGCTCGGGCTGCTCAAAGAATTCACTGCCTCAATAGATCGGGCATGGGCTCAGGAGAAAAATCTTCAGCCTTGGGTTTTTCCCACGATTTCTAGCGGGATTTCTAGCGGGAGATATGGATACCAGACACCCAAGTTTTATGGCGTTAGATGCTAGAGTAGCTCCAGTTCAGGTACCCGAAATTGCCATGATATGGGACCGTCTCTGAAAAATGATGGTTGAAACCCAAGATGGCTGGAATGAAATGAGACTAAATCATGAAAATTCTTAGTTCAACCAATGGAATGGGGTACTCCATATGGGTGGAAAGTCTCTGAACTACAGATGGGATCAAATGGGTAGTTTTCAGATGTTTTCAGATGTTTTCAGCTTTCTGTTGGAAGATGTTCTGGACTTGTGATGAAATGGGCTTTGTGTTGGTCATACCATGGTAAATCATCGCCAGTTGGGATGTAACCATATGTAACCCCTATAGCCATGGTGAAAAATATCCACTTATACTGTAACCCCAACTGCACCGGAAGGAGGACTCCCAGTTTCAAATGTCTATACTATATAAATGTCTGGGCTGCCGGCCGAAGATGTAGTGCTCAAGATCAGGCCTTGCAGATTTCAATGTTTTGGAAAGAAGAAATGTACGAAGCTTCTCTGGATTTTAGCACCAAATGCTGCACTTGTGCCAGTACCCTCCGGCAATTGACAGTGGGCAATCCATGTGGAAACTCCTGTCTCGAAAATATCTGACTAAATGCTGCATTCTACCCTGGTGATTGAAGATAGCCATGGAAAATGGCCCATTATATCCCATTATAATCTGGGTAAATTACAATATTTCGCTAACCTGAATTAAGGCCACCAACTTCTTGCGGTCCCTGCCCACCCCCCGCTGACGCCAAGGGCGAACAGGTTACCTGAACTAAGGCCATTTGGGGATGATTTCCCGAATCCTAACCATGATTTTCCAGGGCTCGGTCGCAGTGAGGTCGTGATGAAATTTACCCAGATTATAATGATTAGTTATGTCATAGTCATTATGTCTTAATCATTTACCCAGATCTAAGACATAGCTATAATTATAATAATCTTCCATAGCTATGTCTTAGTCATCTTAAATGATCAGAGGCTCTCCCACGGCCGCCTGGTGGTCCACTGGGCGAGCGTCGCTCCTGGCGATCTTGGCAACGGCGTTGGCCCAAAAAAATGCCCTGGTTGAAAGTGGACCAAAATCCACGCCTGTTCATGGGATGTTCTTTGATGTTTTTTGAGTGATATATATTGATATATCGTATACATGAACAATGGTTAATGGGATGTTTATGGGATGTTGATTTGAGGTTTTTTTGAGTGATATATCACATGATATATCATAGACATGAACGATGATGATATATGATAAACATCAACAGTGATATATCATATTGGCATTATCCATTATATATGATGCATTATACATGTTTTTATATGATAAACCCTCAGTTCCGAACGGATCTGCCTTAAAACACCTCCGAAACCACGCCTCTTCCGACTCGGCGTTCAGCGTCACCTCGCCACTGCGCTCCTCGGGCACGTCCGTCTGTTCCGCATCCTCCTCATCCTGGCGGTGAGAAAAAAAAGGCCGATAGATAGACCTATGGTAATTTAACATAGCTATGGAAAATCACCATTTTTAATGGGAAAATCCACTATAAATGGCCATTTTCAATAGCTATGTTAGTTTACCAGAGGGTAGACATATGGTGCAAAAACCATCCAAAAGCTTGGGGAAAAAAAAACTAAGTGGCTCAACTAACCGAATTTGGACAGAATGTGATGGTTTCATGAAATCTTCCATGTGGAGGTGGGTAAAGTCCCCATCTACATGGTGCAAACGCTGAGACTGTGCCCAAGTTTTTGACCCAAGAAGTGCATGGACTACATCGAAAGGACACTGCAGCAATGTTCCCTGGGCACCTTCAATAGGTCGGACACCAACGCATCGCATGCTTTGTCCGCATCGGTTGCTCCAAAATACACCGCCGTCATCGTTTTGATCTTTTCGAGCCTTGGCTGTGTCCCACCAATATCCTCCCAACAAACGAAGTGGTCTACGGTGATTTCAATGTACACGTTTGTCATGCAACATATTTTAATCGTATGATTGTAGGTTGGATGTTCAGCTATAGTTAGATTCACCACTAATTTGGATTGAGATTCATAATTTATCCAATAGCCAATGACACCATCTGGTTATTTAACATCGCCATGGAAAATCACCATTTTTAATAGGTAAACCATCTATAAATGGGCCATCTATACCATGGCTACGTTAAATAACCAGAGGGTGACTATACTGCTAGATACTGCTAGCAGATTGAGCTCTCAGCACCACTGTCCCGGACCAAGTCGCAAAGTGCACAGCACCAGCGCGCCCCCCGCGTGAACGTTCGCCGCGGCCCCCCCGCGGAGCCCAAACGTCTCACTGCGGGGCGCAGGAATATCGATCCAAACTCATCCAACAAAGCCGGCTTTCTAAATTGAATACGCTGCAACTTGGGGAATCTTCCATAGTTCAATGGGAATTTCAGGATCCTAAAATGGAGGTACTGTACCATATAAGACCATATTTTGTGGGGATATTCCCTTACATAGGCCTCAAAAATAGGCCTTATATATGGTAGGTACCTCCAATCAATCGGTTCCTGAAATGGCCATTGAATAGTTTCAAGGAGGTTTCCTGATTCATCTGATTCATGCAGATCACCTGAAATCTGAGATCCCAAAATCTTAGTCTGCTACCCCTGGCCACGAGGATCATCTGCTGGGTTGGAGTACCTTGGATCGCAACAGGGATTGAACCATCGAAAACCATGGGATCCAGAGATACAGAGATCGAAGTATTCTATGTCATTGTTACATCAAAGTACCTGATTCAAAGAAAAAACCTCACATTCCGTTCCAAAAATCAGACAACAAATACTCAGGCCTTTTTGCTATGGGTCAAAATTCATCAAAATTGGGTACCCCAAACAAATATATAACCATCCTGAAGTAGATAGAATCTCTGGAATTTCAAAAAAAACGGTCTGGAAAAAACCTATAGATAGAATCCCAAAATGGCTCAAAAATCCGGGTCGATGATTGGTAAAAAAAAAGGTCCCTCAAAAATGATCACAAAAGCGGTCATTTAGCTTGTGATTTGGTTGTTTGGGCCTTTGGAATGACCACCAAATGTTGTCATTATGCTGGTGTATTTGGTTCTGGCATGCGAATTTCAGCCCAAAATCTTCCAAAGAAATTGTCACTGTTGCTGGTGGTTCCCAGAAATATAGATCCTTTGGCAGTGGTATTCAATAGTCAAATCCAAGAAAGGAATGGGTGTGGGTCAAATTATCACACCCCAAAATTGATAGTTGATTTTTTAAGATGTGAAATTTTGAAATTGAGCTGGGGCCAAATTTGACCCGTACCCATTTAGCTACAGTGTGCTCACCGGACCTCCTGGAGATTTTGAATTTGGACATCGATCAAAATCGGATACTTTAAAAAGTAATCTGTATAGAATTGGGTGTAATTGGGACAGAAGGTTTTGATCCATCCCCATATTCTTCTATATTCCTTCATATTCTATCTATGGTATCAACCACTGTGCTGACCCCTCCCTACTGCATTCTGCTAACAACGGCAGGTTTCCAAAAACCATTCCATGTGTTGTAGATTCTTTGGCAATGGTATTTTTGGTTCCCGGGATGCCCAAATAGTCAAACCCAATAAAGGAATGGGTGTGAGTCCAAATATCATCCCTACAAAATTGATAGTTGATTATTTAAGATGTGCAATTTTGTAATTGAGTTGGTGTGCTCACCGGACCTCCTGGAGATTTTGAATTTGGACATCGATCAAAATCAGCTACTTTAAAAAGTAATCTGTATAGAATTGGGTGTAATTGGGACAGAAGGTTTTGATCCATCCCCATATTCTTCTATATTCTTTCATATTCTATCTATGGTATCAACCACTGTGCTGACCCCTCCCTACTGCATTCTGCTAACAACGGCAGGTTTCCAAAAACCATTCCATGTGTTGTAGATTCTTTGGCAATGGTATTTTTGGTTCCCGGGATGCCCAAATAGTCAAACCCAATAAAGGAATGGGTGTGAGTCCAAATATCATCCCTACAAAATTGATAATTGATAATTGAAGATGTGCAATTTTGTAATTGAGTTGGTGTGCTCACCGGACCTCCTGGAGATTTTGAATTCGAACGTAGATATAAACTGTTGGATAGTCAAACTCTATATAAGATCATGAACCAACAGTGGTTTTGAATACAGCCCAAAAGGTATTTTCAGAATCCATAAATTATAATACCACTTTGGATAATATATTGATATAGCACATGTTGTTAAATACCACTGGGTATAATCCAATTAAGAAAATTGTCTTTGACAACATGTGATTGTTTTTCCAACCGGGACCTTTTCAGGGATATTCTAACTATAGATCTTGCCAGGGGCTGACAACTCGGCTCCCCCGTAAAGGGAGCATAGCCAAAAAACGTGACGGGATTCCAGAATCCCGTCATCACCCCCCTATGTGGGGGACGCCCCGGAAAGCGACCGAGTGTGCTACTATAGTGTGTAAGGTGCACTCTGTGTGAAATATATGCTTCGTATGTGAATGATATCAAATATGTAGATATAATATGTATGGTGTTTACTATGATTGAAACATATGCTTTATATGTGAATGATATAAAATATGTAAATATAATATGTATGGTTGGATAGTCAAACTCTAGATAGAATATCCTCTAGATCCATGAAAAGACTGAATTTTTAAAGGATGCTTGGAATTAAGCATGTATTTGTGGTGCTCCCTGCCCCTTCCTCCACATCTACCCATCCAAAGTTCATTCTTGGAGCTGTTTGAAAGCAAGCTTTAAAAGGAAAATGGCATTAAAAAAAAAGGAATCCGAGATCTCACCATCCAAAGTTGAAATTGCAGGTTTTGAAAAGAAACCACAAAAGGAAAATGGGATGAGAAAAGAAATAATCCACGATCTTACCATTCAAAGTTCAATCTTGCAGGTTTTTGAAAAGAAAGCTGCGAAAGGAAAAGGAGATGAGAAAAGTACAGAAAAGTAGGAATCCAAGATCGACCATCCAAAGTTCATTTGTGCTAGTGCTGTGCTAGGACAGTTGGGCAAAACTATAGATAGAATATCCTCTAGAACCATGAAAAGACTGAATTTTTAAAGGATGCTTGGAGATTAAGCATGTATTTGTGGTGCTCCCTGCCCCTTCCTCCACATCTACCCATCCAAAGTTCATTCTTGGAGCTGTTTGAAAGCACACTTTAAAAGGAAAATGGCATTAAAAAAGTAGGAATCCAAGATCTTACCATCCAAAGTTGAAATTGCAGGTTTTTGAAAAGAAACCACAAAAGGAAAATGGGATGAGAAAAGAAATAATCCACGATCTTACCATTCAAAGTTCAGTCTTGCAGGTTTTTGAAAAGAAAGCTGCGAAAGGAAAAGGAGATGAGAAAAGTATAGAAAAGTAGGAATCCAAGATCGAGCATCCAAAGTTCATTTTTGCTAGTGCTGTGCTAGGACAGTTGGGCAAAACTATAGATAGAATATCCTCTAGAACCATGAAAAGACTGAATTTTTAAAGGATGTTTGGGATTAAGCATGTATTTGTGGTGCTCCCTGCCCCTTCCTCCACATCTACCCATCCAAAGTTCATTCTTGGAGCTGTTTGAAAGCAAGCTTTAAAAGGAAAATGGCATTAAAAAATAGGAATCCGAGATCTCACCATCCAAAGTTGAAATTGCAGGTTTTTGAAAAGAAACCACAAAAGGAAAATGGGATGAGAAAAGAAGGAATCCACGATCTTACCATTTAAAGTTCAGTCTTGCAGGTTTTTGAATAGAAAGCCGTGAAAGGAAAAGGAGATGAGAAAAGTACAGAAAAGTAGGAATCCAAGATCGACCATCCAAAGTTCATTTGTGCTAGTACTGTGCTAGGACAGTTGGGCAAAACTATAGATAGAATATCCTCTAGAACCATGAAAAGACTGAATTTTTAAAGGATGCTTGGAGTTGAGCATGTATTTGTGGTGCTCCCTGCCCCTTCCTCCACATCTACCCATCCAAAGTTCATTCTTGGAGCTGTTTGAAAGCACACTTTAAAAGGAAAATGGCATTAAAAAAGTAGGAATCCAAGATCTTACCATCCAAAGTTGAAATTGCAGGTTTTTGAAAAGAAACCACAAAAGGAAAATGGGATGAGAAAAGAAGGAATCCACGATCTTACCATTCAAAGTTCAGTCTTGCAGGTTTTTGAAAAGAAAGCTGCGAAAGGAAAAGGAGATGAGAAAAGTATAGAAAAGTAGGAATCCAAGATCGACCATCCAAAGTTCATTTTTGCTAGTGCTGTGCTAGGACAGTTGGGCAAAACTATAGATAGAATATCCTCTAGAACCATGAAAAGACTGAATTTTTAAAGGATGCTTGGAGTTGAGCATGTATTTGTGGTGTTCCCTGCCCCTTCCTCCACATCTACCCATCCAAAGTTCATTCTTGGAGCTGTTTGAAAGCAACTTTAAAAGGAAAATGGCATTAAAAAGTAGGAATCCAAGATCTTACCATCCAAAGTTGAAATTGCAGGTTTTTGAAAAGAAGCAACAAAAGGAAAATGGGATGAGAAAAGAAGAAATCCACGATCTTACCATTCAAAGTTCAGTCTTGCAGGTTTTTGAATAGAAAGCTGTGAAAGGAAAAGGAGATGAGAAAAGTACAGAAAAGTAGGAATCCAAGATCGACCATCCAAAGTTCATTTGTGCTAGTACTGTGCTAGGACAGTTGGGCAAAACTATAGATAGAATATCCTCTAGAACCATGAAAAGACTGAATTTTTAAAGGATGTTTGGGATTAAGCATGTATTTGTGGTGCTCCCTGCCCCTTCCTCCACATCTACCCATCCAAAGTTCATTCTTGGAGCTGTTTGAAAGCAAGCTTTAAAAGGAAAATGGCATCTAAAAAGTAGGAATCCAAGATCT